TGTACATACACCTTATACTCAGCCCAGGAGAAAAACCCTATATGTCTGACCTGATCATATTATTTCCCTCAGGCACTGTCTGTTCCCAAAAAAAAGTCTTGACAATGAGCAGGGGTCAGACTTTGCACAGGTACATTGTGTGAACTTCACACGGACAACAGCAGGGCAGTTCATTCTTGACTGATGTGCACTGGTTTCATGAGCCAACTTCAACTCATCTGTACTGATGTGGTCAGAAGCAGAGCACTTGCCGCTGAGCATCTTTTTTAAAACCTTGCTTGAAGTTTGGCTAAGAATACTTTTCTCAGTTCTGTGACTTTTTATGCATGGACTACTGCAAAACTAAATGACAAACGATCATTTTGGCTCACAGAACATTTTCCACTGTTATTAATCGTGACCTTTCCTCCTTATCTCTGACTATTTTCTCTGATCCTGGAAAATTTGTTAGAAGGAAAAGTATAAGGAAAAGCTGAGTTGCTCATGGATGGAAAGGAACAAAGACAGTGGAAGGATCTCAGATCACCACAAAAGAATTTCAGAGCAAGTAAACCACCTTGCGGTGCTGAACTGCCAGAGCTCCTAAGAAAGTGCTGGAAGCAAAACACCCTGGGTAAATGAAGAAAGCTGAATCAGAGGAGAACTAGAGAGCCCTCACTTGAGGTCTCTTGGCTTCAAAAGACTGGGTAGACACCAAGGTGCTCTTCCCTTGTCTAGTTGGCTCTTCTTTGTGTCATGCCATGATCCTTATCCCTTGGTCACCTAAAAGCTGTGCATGTCGCTCCCTCTTGGGCACCAGTTTTGGGCAAACCAGGTAGTTTCCCTGGCGGGGTAATGCAAGATGATTTCTTCCAGGGTCTACACCCCACAGGAACCATATCAGAGTTTTGTCAATTTATTGCCTCAAAATTATTCTAGGAGACCTTGTGACCTTGCCCTCCCCTTATGCCATCCCACTTTACCCCAGTGCCCTCAATACAAGAAGTCTGGTAGGGTGCAGACCACCCTGTGTGTTGCCTTTCTCTCCTTGCAGTAAAGGTACAGGGGTGCAGAAAGGCTGCTTGGGCACCAGAGAAGACCAAAGATCTGTTTTGCCTGTGCCCCATCTGGTGTCTTGCTGCTGGGAACATCTCCTGGCAGCAGCAGCAGCAGGGGGTGAGGCAGTTCAGCACAGTCACAAGAGCGGCGCCCAGAGCAGCTGCTTTAAATTCAGGGTATTTCAGGTTGTCTACATCATGCCAACAGGGACCACAATTTGCCAAAGGACACACACAGAGATAGACCGGGATTTGCTCTGAAGGGCTCTCGCAGAGGCCCTGGCACAGCTGGGGAAGCAGCTCCCATCCCGCAGCCCCTGCCTCCTCCCCAGCCAAGGCCGGTGCCAAGGATACAGGAGTGGCGTCCCCTCGGGCCATGACATTCCCTCTCCTGCAGCTGCTGGCACCGCAGGAGAGTTTGTAAAGGCTGATCGTCTCCTCGGTGTGCGTGGGAGGGAAGCGCAGCAGCGGGCAGATGAGAGGTCACAGCCGGGACATGGCGCTGCAGGTAGGGAACCATCCCGAGCCCTCCCACTCCTTCCCGTCTCACGTCATGCCCTGGCAAGGGGCAGCTCGAGGAGCAGGTCCCCATCTCCTCTCTGGAGACAAACCCAGTCTAACCGGAAACATTTCCACACAGCCATCGGCCGTGGCCTACCTCTGCTCATCGGTGGCTGGGAGCGGGGTTGTGTAACAGCAAAGACGGGTGTGAAAAGCCCCTCGTGACACACACCCGCACCTGCCCGTGCCCACAGCAAACCCTCCCACAGCCCTGGTGCACGAAGCAGGGCACACGTCTCTTCCTAGGTGCTGCTGGGCATTGCAGGATGAGCATCCATCCCTCCTCGCAAGACACCAAGCCAGATGGAGATGGCGAGGCTGACGGGGGAGATATCACATGCAGGTCCTCTCCTCGCAGCTGAAGGATGCTCTGCCTTTCTAAAGGGAACCTCACAGGATTAAATCCCACGGCTAAAACATTAACCATGCTCAACATGGTGAAAAAAAAAAAAAAAGAGCACTCTCAGAACATATGTGACATAATCTTTGAATGCTCAATTAATATTTCTCCAAAGTTGCTGCAAGTTTAAACTCTAAAACTGCAGCCACTACCAGATGTAGACAAGAAATGAATGAAGATGCTGCGTGCTGAGTATCTGCCAAACAGAGGACAAACAGCACCTGAAGTACCACCTGTGTGTGTAGTACTTGATTTCACAATATACGTGATTCAGCATATTTGACTTCAGACAAGATGTCCTCATGCATATCATGCACAAGCTTGCAGAAAGAACAAAAAGCACTGCGGAAAGAAGACACAAGGCAGCAGCATGCATGCGGCAAGCCCCAATGGCAAGCTGTTCTTCCTCCTCTTGAGGATGCCTCACTCCCTTGGTACTTTTCCTTCTCAAAAACATCTCTAACTCCTATCTAACTCTACAGTAAAATATCTCCACCCCCCCCTCCCCACTAAACCATGGAAGTGAGCTGGCTGGTAATCACTGCAGACTTTCTCTAATTAGTACAAACTTGTCAGGGATTGCAGGCGGGGACATGCCTGACATGAGCAGGGGAAATTACCCAACTCTGGGCTGAGCTGGGGGCAGAGGGGGAGCAGCATGAGGCATTTGGAGAGCACCAGGACTGACAGAAAAAGACAGACAGCCGAGCAGGACCGACCCTGCTTGCAGTATGCCTGCACAAGCCCAGCACCGAGGGAGGGAGCGATGGGAACTTCGTGAGTACCCTGGGTCACTGGTCCTGCCCGGGCAGCAAGGGGATGGCAGCGAAACCTGGTGCTCCCTGTGCCTAGCAGCACAGCTGGGCTGCAGGAGGTCTGCAGTCGTGCCTCTGGTTTGGGATGCTCCTGCTGAGCTGCCCTCTGGCAAACAAAAGGTGCACTTGAGCTCTCACAAGAAAAAAAAAAAAATCTCCTTCCTTTCTAGAGATTTTTGTGAGCACAGAGCCTGGTTTAACATGCCAAGGGCAGGGTGTGAACTTGCCCCCATCTCATCCCAAAGGCTCCAGCAGCTCATCCCCTTACAGCCCGGGGTCCACAGGTCACATACCAGTGCATGGGCTCTCAGGCCAGTACAAACTGGTGCGAGCTGCCTTAGCTCAGAACTGGCTCTGTTCAAATTCCTTAGAAAATAATTTTTTTAAAAAATCAACTCCAGAGGGTCTGCTGGCCTGGAGGTGGAGATAGCAGTGGCTGCCTGCTTTTACGTCACATAACATGAAGATACATTAAGTAGTTGGAGGTACTCACAGTGAAGAGAAAATGAACTCTGATGCTCATCTTCACAATACAAGTACTCGTTTTGTAACACTGTGCCCTAGAATTAACATCTGGAATTCTAGCAAACAGAAAATCACATCTCCCCACAGTCCTTCCACAGAAATATGAGTTTTCTTTCTGCTACTACTCTTAGGAGCACATTCCTGCCCTTTCTTAAAAAAAAAAAAAAAAGACAAATGGAGTCACACATGCCCTCAAATCAGTTCCAGATGCTGGGAAAAAGAAACAGAGGACAGTGTTTGTCCTCGAGATTTAACAGCCTAAATGAACACAAACAATGAAGAAAGAAGAATACCTAGAGAAGGACACAAAGTCAGAGACCTGTCTAAGGTCACAAACGGTTTATGTGGCTTCACATAGATTAGAGCACACATCCTTTGGTGTTTTAGCAGCTTTCATCTCACCTCCCTAAACCAAACCATTCTTCAATAATTCCTGCTTTACCTTCACACTTTCCCTGACCTGTAACACTGTGCCCCAGTAAGGATCCCAGCCTAGGTATTGGTGGTCCCAGCCATACCCACGACAAGACACCTTCTGCTCACAGCATGGCTTTTGGCTTCCTGGCATATACCCAGCTGCACAGGACTATTGCAATAGGGAGATTTCTAACAGTTCTATCAAAGTGCAAGTGATAACAGCTGGATGAATTTTGATTGACTATTCGTCCTCCCTGAGGGGTTAGGGGTGGGGGGTTGGGAGTGGCAGACATTAGGATATGAACAAAAATTTTTCCTCCTTACGTATAATTTTGTAATAACAAAAATGTCTTTTTTTTCTAATGTGGGAGGTGGGGGGAACCAAAACTTGTTGCTCTCTCACTAAAAAAAAAAAAAATACATTTCCACACAGAGGGAAAAAAAAGAAGTTTCTATGCATCAGCATGTGTGTGTGTAAATCAAAGCTTCATTTTTGATGAGACCATGTTTTCACAGGAAAAACCTTCCAATTTCAAAAACCTGGATCACTCCAAATGCCTCATCTCCATCAAAGGCTGTTAGCAAGGCCCTCCTGAGGCCAGTACATGGATGGGGACAAGGCGGCATGGGGCAAGCACACAGGCAGCCCTTGTAGCAAACAGCCAGGAAGCGCTGCAGCCGAGCTGGCGCCCCCAAATCTTGCTGCCCTGCAGCACCTGGGGTGCTGATAGGCAGCTGCCCTTTTTAATCTCAGATAGCAGCTATCAATAAAGCAAAATGACCTCACAATTTTCCAAGTGCAATAAAGTCACAGCTTTTCCCTTTCCAAGTAATGACAACAGGCTCCTGTGAAAGCACGGCGATGACGAGTTCAGAGAGCAAGCCCCCATCGGCCAGGGAGCCAAACACCGGGCTGGGGCCTGAGCCCGGGCTGCTTGGTGCAAAAGGCACTCATCGTGCAGCCTGCCTCACGTCCTGCTATTATGCAGGGAACAAAGTGACATCTCAGAGAAACAGACTCCTGGGTGTCACTTGCAGCCTGTTCACCTTCCCTAAAAGTCCCTTTTGTCCTCAGGCCACGCTGAAACTGTGGCGCTGCGGCCACTCGCCCTCGCGCCCCCCCTTTGCTTCTCACTTTCACTCCCATTGGTTTCACGTTCCCTTTGCCACACGGAAAAGCTTTCAAGCTCATCCAGCCCAGCAGCAGAGTTTATCCTGGTTCCACCCACTGGGACTTTCCTAGCTTCCTCCTACACGCGAGGGGAAAAAAAGGCAGAGGGAGGCAGGCAGCAGGCACCTCGGGGAGCTCGATGAGCCGCGGTGCTCCCTTCCCTGAGCTAGGTTTCTATTGTAGGCGGTGCATTCCTCGGGAGGGAGGGTGTGCGTGTGTCGGTGCCTTCCCACACTCGGGGCAGCTCTTATTTAATGGGGGTCTCCATGCAGGGCAGAAGCCAGAGGAGATTTTGCCGTTGCCAGCTCCCAGCCAGGCTCAGCGGCAGCTCACACGTCAAGCGCCGGCATGGACCGCGGGGCTGAGATAACCCTGGAGGAGGAGGCTCCAGTGATCGGCCAAGCCTCCAGGATGCACCTCAAGGAGGACTTGAGGAGGATACGATGCGCCGTGCTGCTGTGCCTGCTGGCTGTGCTGCTGCTGGCATTGCCCACCGCCTACCTGCTGGTTGGAAACCTGCGAGCCCCCACCTCCTGCTCTGGCCAGGTAAGGCTCTGCCGTGCATCGGACCTGCTGCCCTGCGAGGAGGGGAGCGTGGCGTTCCCCTTCCCCCGTCGTTTGCTTATTTGTTTTTCTGGTTCTTCTTCTCTCTTTATGAGTTTCTGGTGTTTAAGGGAAGGCAAGAAGTTCACCGTTACCTTCCACCTTCCTTACTCAGAGACAGTCTGCCAGGGACAACTCTTACGATCGTTCGGTCTTTTTAACTAACGGTTTCTGTTCCTCTTGTCGTAATTTCACTAAGGTCACAGCACAGCGTACACCTTTAAAACTTTTACTGGCGTGCTGCAGAAAATGCTTAAGAGAAAGCTCTAGGTTGATGGAAATTTGTGTGTCTCCACTGATTTCAGCCAGATTTTGATACTACGGCTCATTTTCCACCTTTCTTTTGGATTAGCTCTGAGACTTCCCCTACCACGTCCTGTTCCAGCAAACATCTGCTGAGCGTGCTGCTGATGTCAGTGGGTCAGTGCATGTGTACATGATCGGGCAGACAGCTGGGGCTGTCCTGTACTATCAATGCAAACTCCTGCAGAGATAAGATCTGGGACAACTACAGTCTGATCCTAAAGCTTGCATCCCGCTTTTTTACTCCCCATCAAAGCTTTCTCTATATCCAGGGAACTTCTGAGCTGTTTTTCTTTGACAGACAGCTAAACTCTGCTCCTAGCAATACAGGCTGGCTGGTGTGGTCACTTCTAATGCTCTCCTGTGCTGCCCCACTCCTGCTTAAGTTAGCCTGCAAGTGTCTATACCCACTGCAGACTATGAATCCAGCAGGACTGCCCCATGCCAGGAGGAAGAGTTGTGCATTTGGGTCTGAAGAATTAAGGTTTAAAGGAATTTTAGCTTCAGGTCTTAATTTCCCCACCTAATTAGCCTGCTTGTCACGTATGTATACTTATGGAACAGCAAAAGAAAACAGTGTTAGTAAGCGGCCTTAAGAGCGAACTTCAGATGTAGGAAACATTTTGCCTGCAGATGTTTGGACAGTCTGACAGCTGTGTCTGTAGCTGCACGCATGTGCGTGCTTGGCTGCACAGAGCAGCACTAGCCCTGCTTTGACCCCAAGTCTGTATGGCTGGCATCTCGCACCCAAACAGAGCCAGCTCCCTGAGTCCATCCACATTACCCAGTTGTAACTTCAGGCACAGATGAAAGGAAGTGTGACAGCCCTGCATAGTACATCAGACTGCTGAATTTACTGATTTCTTGCACAAGTACATGCTGCTGCGCTGTCCTCGCTATTATTTAGGCCAGTTGGAGCGGGTGCACACAGAGTGAAAAGGCATTTTGGACGGTCTCATTGCTCTTTCTGTTCCCATCCTCTGAGGTTCTCCAGTACCAAGCAGAAAGTTCCATTCTTGAAACAATTGTAAAAAGAAATAATATAACGCTAGCTGTTTGATAGGACTAACGTGTTCCTGGCTGTTAACCTTGCTGGCAGAGTTAGTGGAGAAAAATACTTGTGACCAGGTTTGGCTTCTTTAGAGGAAAAACGCAATATAAACCATTAGATTTGCTCTAGCCTGGATTACACGAGCATGTACTTCCGTGCATCTACACTGACTTGTTAGTGCATAGTATTCCCACAGTGATGTAACGAGGTGATCAGATGAGTTATAGCCGCGTGTCCTACTGAGGGAGGGAAAATCATCAGGGCTGGCTGCCTGCCCACGGCGCTTGTGCCAAGCCAAGTGGGTGGAGTGCCTAGCTGCAATTCCATAGGATCCTGCCTTTGCTGCCTATTTCATTCACTCCAAGGATCACTGACAGCGTCACCAGTGTTGTCCAGCAACAGAGCGCAGCTGGGTGGATTTGTCTGCCTGTGGAGTTTGCTGTTAATCCCCCTAAGAGCCATGCTGTGGGCTGAGTGCAGGCGCTCAGTCCTGCAGCTCAGCACAGCCCAGCTCAGTCCAGGGGAGAGTTTCTGGGTGTACAGGCTCTCAGGATCACATCTTTTTGCGTTTCCATCTGCATTTGAAGAGTGTGAACCACATGGTTAAAGGATGCCTTCTTCACACACACCCTTGATATCCTGGGCCAGAAGAACTTGTCTGGGACCAGGCATGCATGTTGGAGCTCTCTGCACACAGCTCTTGGGTGTGGGTGTCCTGGACATACTGGGAGCAGGTGGACCGGTCCCAGTTTGCACCAGATGCGAGTTGACTCCCTGTCCCTTGCAGCATTGAGCTCACAGGAGGAGCTCTCTTGTTGCCCCAGGCCCAGAGCTCAGCCTGCACCCGCTGGATTGTCCCCTCCTCCTGCACTTGGGCCAGCCCAGGGCAGCAGGAGGGACTTGGCCCCAGCACCTCCTGGGAGGCACTGGTGCAGCCAGGCAGGTGAGCAGCAAACGTAGTAAATCCCTGAACCCGTCCTTCCTGGAGCAAGGAGGATGAGAAGGGTTGTGCAACAGGGGTGTGCCTCTTCAGTTTGCCTGTGGGGTACGACGGTTTGCTCATCTCAGCTTCTGTGTGGGTGCACATGCTGTCACATACTCCTCAGAAGGGGCATAAACTCACCTTTTTCCTCTGGAAATGCCCCTTTCAGGAAAGAGCAGGGCAAATTATGTCATTACAGCAACATGTGTGAACCACCGGCTCTCTCTTTCTTGTGGTATGTTGTGTCTTGCATGAATAATTGATGCCTTGATGCTGGCTTCCCTGGACACCTTCCAGGCTCACTACACAGCTTCCCTTTTGGAAGTACAAATCACTTTCTTTCGTGCTTCGAGACAGTGCGAGGTGAGGAAAGAGAGATCTTTAAGCAATGACACATGGCTTGGGCTATTAGCAGGAAATCTGTAAAAGGGAAGTCGAATTTCAGCCTGAGTGCACAGATCCACCAAGGGGAAGAACACAGCAGCCAGGAAAGTATCTCCATCTGTCTTAGCAACTCACTCTGCTAGCCCCATAACGCAGAGAGTCAAGTCCTGACCTGCAGATGTTGGTATTTGGGCTTCTGTTGGTGGCATCCTTCGCGTGGCAGGGCCACAAGCAGTGAAATGGGAAACTCAATCCAGAAACAGTCCTAAGGGTTGCACATGAATGCGTGTGCCATGTCAGCCTTGCAATGTAGACGGGAGGTGCCACAGGATGGGAGGGACTTTAAAGTCTTAGCAGCTCCACCTGGATCTCCCTCCTGCAGTATGAAAGGATACAGCAGCAATGCTTAGATGAGACAGGCAGAGCTATAACCTGTGCAGAGCCAGAAGCCCTCGTAGCCTGTCCAAATGGGAATGAGACCCCCAAATAGCTTCCTGATCCTTAGGGATGGGGAGGTGTTTGGGGAGCAGCAGGGAGCACTGCATCCAGTCCTACGTGTGCGGGACTGCCCTTCCAAATATCAGGAAAGTGCTGCTTGATGCTTCATGGGCAGAGCCATCAGCACATGCCATGGCCCAGCCAAAAAGCTCCCACCAAGGGCAGCTTTCAGCAGCAGGGGACCAGGACATATCTTTTCCAGGCCATGCAGCACCCCTGGAGCAAACAAAATTGGGGGTGCAGGTACCATGCATGCCCTGCAGAGACCTGCCTGTAAATTAGCATCTTGTGCTAAAAACAGAGCGGTGGAGGAGCCTGGGGAGGCAGGGGGGGATTTTGCTTATTAATCCCCCTGCCTCCAGCACCAAGCTGCTTTTCCCAGGCAGTTCCCCTGGACAACCCCAGCCCGTCCTTGAGGTACGAGAGGCAAAGCACGTGCTCAGGGGATGTTCGGTCCTTCTCCTTGGCTTTAGCGAGACATGGATGTAGATGCACTGGGGCTTTTGGACATCCTTGGTATCAAAGCAATAGAGCAGTGTGTTGTATACTGCAGTCTTCAGGGTAAGCAGAGCTGTTGGAGAAATCCTTTGTCCCCACATCAGCTGTAGGGTAGGATTTTCAAAGTCACTTGGCACTGGCTACAATCTCTCTGGAGTAACTGAAGGGAAAACTGAGGCCATGGTCTGAACTTTTCAGAATCACGGCTAACCAATAAGGGAAAACAGAGAAAAAAATCTAATTGTGTAAATGATTTCTGTACTGTCTCAAGCTGCTTGGCTCTCCCTCATTTCCTTCATCCTGAAAACTCTTTATGCACCTCAACTACACCATCAATGTAAATCTTTAGGACAAATATTGTTAATACCATTATGTAGCATTTTCTGGTACTGAAGTATTCTTCTTTGAACGTTTAGAAGACTTGTATCTTTAGAAGACTTGTATCCCAATCAAACAGCACAATCAGGAAAAGAAAAAAAAAAACTACCTTTGCCACATAAAAGAATAATTCACACCCTGTAATGCCCTGCTTATCTAATGCAATGCGCTGTCCCTTAGCATGTAGAAAAGCAGCCACTCTGTGAGGACTATTCACTCGGTGTTCTTTGGAAACAAGTAAATTGAGCATTTTTGATACAGCAGCAGGATTCTTCTTGAGATCCTTCCCACTTCCCCATCATTTCTGCTTGTATTGCAACGCTGTGCGTATATAAACTACTTCGGCAGAAGTTGGGCTTTAAATAACCAGTCCCAGTGAAGTTAGATGATTAAACATCGGTTTGTGATTGTTTTATAGCTCTTTGTGGTACTTAGCATTGTTAGGAAATATGTAACTTGGCAAATATATAGAAAGGGCCACATAAATAAAGCTGCAAATATTGCAAATATACACATCCGGCAGAAAGCAAGGGGGATGTTTGAGGGAAATCCTCGACACGACCTTGTGCTTCTCACCAGGGGAAGGACAGTCACCTTGCTCTGACTGTGTCCCATCAGTTCAGACACCACAGCAACCAGGCGGGACCTCAGAGAAAGTCATTGGTGATAACGAGAGGCGCAGACACCTCAGCACCATTCCTCTCTCAGCCATCACCCATCTTTCTCCCAGCCTCTCTCCTAGATGACCTTTCCTGCAGGGCAGCCTGTGCCTGGGCTCTGTGTATGTGTGTTCACAGCAGAAAGGGAGGGGAAAAAAAAAAAAAAAGATATTTTTCCTTCTCCATTTCTTTTCCAACACACTGGAGCCACTATTTCAGAAATGATGTTTTTCTGCAGCAGCACACGGCTGCTCACTGCTGGTGAAACATCTTCGGGCTCACCAGAGCAGCCAGCAGTCCCATACGACCTGATTCTTCCCCTCACATACTCTCCTTGCCATAACCTGTGTAAATTATGCATTTTCAACTTCTCCTGCAATACGTGGAGCTGTGTGAGATGCAGCCACTAGGTGACAACTTCAGCACCTACATGCTGATATTATTTCAGCCTGGTTTTTGACCAGTGCGCATCACACCGTCTGTTGCAAGCCAGTCAGTGGCAGCTTGCAGTCCCCATTAAATTCATTGCAGCCATCCCTGACACACACCATACCTCACCAGGCAGCCCCGAGCTGGCTGCATATCCCCAACCGCAAGCTACCTGCAGCCACACTGCCAGCATCATCCTACCAAGCACTGTGCCTGGCACAAGCACAAGGGAAGATGCTCCCCGTGCCACGGGGAGGCCACATCCAGTGTCAGCATCCCGCAGCTCCTTCCTTCCCCCTGCAGCATGCTGGGTTCAGGCTGCTATAGCAGGGCTTGCTCCTGGCAAGGAGCCACGGGCCATGCAGGATTAGTCGGGAGCCACCCGGAGGCGCATGGCATGCAGCCAGTGGGTGCCCCTTTTTTGCTGCTTGACCCAAATGTCAGCACCGCTTGGTACAGGCCCTGTTACCACAGGGATGGGTCATAAATATGCTGGTGCTCAGTGCTAGAGGAACATTTACATATAAGATGCAAGCAAACATGAAACAGCCTGCCTTGCCCTGGGGCTCCCAAGATTTCAAGGCAGACCTAAGCGATAGACTTACAGGCTGAAATAACTCAGAAAGGGATGCAGGGGAAGCAGCAGGTCTGTAGCTAGTACACCTCTCACGTTCTTTGCTGGTGTTTTGGATGCAATTTACTCAGCCCTGCTGAGATGTGAAGCAGGGAAGAAGGGAAGAATGTCTCACATTGCTCTGCTTGCTCTGTTTTGCTGCATGCATGGAGACAGGAGTCACCAAGCAGCAGTGCTTGGTGGACACATGGTCACACAGGAGAGTTAGCAATGGCCTCTGCCCCAGCACTGCCGTGGGCTCATCCAGCCATGAACAAGGCTGGAACGAAACCCAGCCATCACAGGAGCCTGTCCCTGGCACCTTTTCTAAGATGTGGGTGGTTTCAAACAAACAGTAAAAAAAAAAAAAAAAAAGAAAAAACTCTTGCAATGAGGCAAAGCTCTGTTGGGACTTGTCCTTTTACTTAAAAGTTGTAGCTGAGGTGGAAGATATCAGTGTACCATCCCACGTTTTCTGGGATAACATAAACCGGACCCTCGTGGAGGAGCCCTGGAGGTAACCATTTGCACTTCTCTTCCATAGGTCGCAGACGAGCGGGGCTCTCACTTTCTGAAGCAGCGGGCAGTAGCCACTGGTAAGTTTGCTGTCCCTTTCCCATCCCCGGCACCTTTGTTTACTGAGGTTTTGCAATTGCTGCCTCTGCGCCCAGTGCCGACACCTCCTCACCCACGCTCATGGCCCAGATCCACACAAGGCAGGGCAGAGTAAGCCACAGGAGGCAGGGTGATGGGGGACAGCTGGGGCTGTAGTGAGGGACAAGCATTTCTGTCCCCATCCCAGCATGGGCCCACACCTCCCCAGCAGCTCACTGGGACCAGTACAACTCCCCCAGACAGTAAAAGTGCAGATTTGGAGCCCATGGACACCCTGCGCCCAGCCAAGCAGAGGAGCACTCCCCCTCCACTCACTTAACCCTTTTTTTCTTTTTTTTTTCTCTTTTCCCTTCAGTTACAGATACAATTCCCAGTGCAGAGAAGCCAAGAGCGCACCTGACAGGTAATGCTTGTTCAATACCAAAGCGTTCCCCTCGGGCCTTACAGCTGCTGCAGTGCAAAAACCTCAGTTTATATGGCTCTGATAGGATCAGGTGTTGTAAGAAGCAGAGGAGAAATAGTCATCGGCTTTGCCTCGCTCAGCACTGCAGATTTAACACAGCGGTGTCTGTAGGAAAGGGCCCACAGAGGAGAGGCATCCAGTGCCTCTGGGACCAGTGCCACTTCTCCTGGTGGTTGCTGCCACCGAGTGAGTGCTCAGGCCCCTGAAACCAAGCATGAGTGCCCACTTTCTTAGGAAAGGAGCCCAAGTGAGCTGTGATTTAGGAAGAACTACCAGATTCGAAGCCAAATGAGGTCAATAAGTCCAGTTTTAGGGCCCCTATTTTTGAAAGCCCTGACTGAAGCCACACATACTACGTTCCTATGAAATAGCTGCCTGTTTTTGGTGTGATCATCTCTAACACGTTGGAGCAAGCAAGGGAAGAGCTGTGCCCAGCTGAACCCCTCGGAGCCCGTACGTGACAGGAAAACGCCCTCGCAAAGCACTGCCATGGGAGGGGGGGGTGATCTCACCACGGAGCTGGGGCTCTCATCACACCAAGGCTGCTGTCCTGAGCCCTCCCCCCTCCCACCAGTTCCACCTTCCTGGAAAATGTAGGGATTACCAGAAGGGGAACAGGTTCACGGCAGGTTCCCATCTGGATGGGACGGAGTGCTGAAGGGCCCCCCAGCTGCTCTGAGCTTCTCCCATCTGTCCACTAAGGCAATTTGCATTGCAGAGGCTTCCTCAGCACCCTGTGTGCCGTCCCAGAGGAGCACCGTAGTAACCTGAACCACGCAAGAAGCTGCATGAAGCTTCGCACAAATTTACATATGGGGTTGAAGCAACTAGTGCTTCAGGGCTCAGTTTTTCCCTGGCATTGTTTACTTTCACTAATCCACAAATTCCTTCCTAATGCACACCCTCGGTCCCATCTCCTTCCTCACGCAGGTTGCTAGAACATCCAGATGGGCCTGTCCTTGCTCAAAGCACATCCTTGCGTAAATGCAAGCTGGCAGGAGCAGAAGGACCACATCTGCTAACAGAGGTTCCCCCGTTTCCCAAGTTGCCACATGACTGAGACCCAAAAGCTCCCGGGGTGGCTGACTCAGAGCTGCAGCTGAAGCGCTGTGCTGCTGACAGGAACTTCCCTGGGTTGCACAAAAGTCCTCTTGTCGCAGGGAAGCACCCAACAGTTTACTACAAATTTCCTCAGGCCTCCCGTTTGCAAGAACTCCTTCACCATCATTCCCAAGCAGTGCCCCCGGGACGCTGCCTGTCCTCCCCAGCCTGCTGTTTCAGCCCCATCAGTGTTAGCCATGAGAAGGAAAAAGCTGAGATGTTTTTCTCACTTCTTTTCTGTGCAAAATGGGGTCCGGGACCTAGGCTGCTGTGCTACATAGCCATCAGGAAACCAGACTTCCATGAACTTGTCTTTAAGCTTTTTTTTTTTTTTTTTTTTTGAATCTCAGAGTGGTTTGTGTTAGAAGGGACCTTTAAAGCCCATCTAAGCCCAAACCCATCTAATCCTTCCCACCAGCCCAAGCTGCCCCCAACTCCATCCATCCTGGCCTAGGGCACTGCCAGGGATGGGGCACCCACAGCTCCTCTGGGCAGCCTGTTGAGCCCTGGCATATTTTGGGGCTTCTCCACACCCTGTAAGCAATGACTTCCCAAACTTAGTGGTGCACCATAGTCAGAAAGCTGTGCTATTCTAAACTGGTTAAATAATAACTTCTTGGGTGTCATCCTGCTCTTTGCTTCTGAGGAACTGTGACTGACTTGTGCATAGAAAGCAAAAAAGGAATAATTATTCTTTAGATATTTCCTACATTCCACCAAATCAGGCATCATCTGCACAGTGAAAATAGTAGTCTAGGTACTCTCCCTCACAGGAAATCTCTTCCAGATCCCTATCTGCTCCTCTCTGTCTCCTTCTAGATTTAGGAACATATATTATGAAGGTGAGAACAGAGGAGTGAGGGGAATGAGAACTAGCTGGAGTTAGTATGGGAATGCACCACTGAATTAACAGTAGCAGGATGACTCAATGTTTTGGTCTCTGTTCCTTTATGAAAAATTCTCCACCTGCTCTTGGCCTTTTTAACACATATCAAGCATGTTGAACCTATCATGACACTGACATCTCATCTCCCTGGTGTCTGTAGCTAGTAAAGAATGGCACAATCAGCATAAAGGGAAAGATGCAGACCAATGCCTACTCCTCCTTGTCACCAGCCTGGAGCACAGCTGGATGCAGCATGTTGCAGAAACCCCATCAAGTACCTGGGTGGCATTTATCATGATGCTAATTATAATAAGCACTCCACTAAATCTGGGTAGAAAAACACTTTCTGATTCAACTTGGTTGTCGAACCTTCTAAGAATAGTAATTAAACTCCCAGGGCATGATCTTGAGCAACAGCGACTGCAGCCATTGCGCTTTGCAATACATGCCACACAAAGCTGTACTCCACAGGAGACTCAGCCCCTCATCTTTCTTATAATACAGCTGACAGTAATCGGCCATCACACCAGTGAGGGCCATGAATTGCAGAAACCCCACAAGTTCACCAACATGCCATTAATGCACCAAAGAGCTGCTAAGCAATGGGGATTCCCCAACAAGAAACTAAACTGAAAGGGATCTTTGGAAAATAGAAGAAATCTGGCACGTGATACCAGAAATTAAAAATGCAGTGGAAACTTGAAGGAGCTGTAGCAATGAATCCCTTACTAAAAGCAGATTATTTACTTTGAGGATTAGTATAATATGTATATTTGCTGAAAGTGCAGCTCCATATATTTAAGAAATAAATCAATGGGAAGTACAAATACTGCTAGAAAAGAAGCTATACCATATTCAAAGGCATTTGAACATGCATTTTTACCTCTTGGCATATCTCTAAAGCATTGAAAAAAAATAACCAACATGGAAACAGAGCATCATTGCAGTGAGCACTAGCCTGAAAGGAAGGTTATAGCTACAAAACTTAGAATTGCCTAATTCTAGAAGTTATGAAATCATGTACTTCGAGATGCCTTTTAGTTATTTAAAAACATTGAAGAATTGAGTGTCACTGACATTTTAAGTGCGTCATTGTACACAGCAAAACAAAAATTCTCATGAAGCTTCTCCTCAATTTTCCCACAAACTTCACAAGATGGAAAAGAGCCCAGGACATTTTTGGGAAATTTTCTGATCCTCTACCTCAAACAAGCTTCCCTCTGTTACCACCTCAACTCTGAGAGGTCTTACCCCAAGCTGTTGTAATCAGCGTGACCCAGCTGCTACTTTAGTTTTTGCCAGGATGCAGCCCAGCGCCTGCACAGGCACCCGAGGCAGATGAGATGAAGGTAGAGGAGGATGAAGGCTGACCACAAATACTTTCACTTTCTTTTACTCCTCTTTGTGTATCAGGCAACGCTTTGTTGGCTGTAAGCCTCATAGTCCTTATAATACTTCTATATTTTGGCTTGGCTTGCTGTCACAATCCCTGTCTATTGCCTTCCCATACAGAAATACTCTCTGCATGTGCTTTGCCTCCTGGGTAAAAATAGACAGATATAATTCTTCAGCAGCGCTGACAGGCAGGCTGAGAAAAAAAAATGCCATTATTTTGTTGGTCTACTTGAAGAATATGCAAGAAATTGCACTTCTAACATCTGCTTGTCTCCTCATTGGTTATCTATTGCCAGAAAAAAAGGATGCCATGGGACTGAGCATATTCATTTTCCTGAATCTCATGTCACCCAGGGTAAACCTAAAGGTCATTGCCAAGCACTTCAAAGCTCTCCCTTACCTGCATTCAGCTTGCCTCCCTGCCCATGCACACACCTCTTCCCCAAACACTGAATCAAAATCAAGTTTAAACATTAACCTAAGTTCACGAAAAAGAAAAAGGATTGGTTTCCTGGAAATCAGTTGACTCAGTCTTTCTCGCTGTTTAACATCAACTTTCCAGGTTTGCTCTAACACCTAGCAGAATCTCCTCAGTATGTATGCTCTTCACCACCTCAGCTGCTGTTTTAGCACAACAATTTTATGTGGCAGTTGGTTAAGGGCAGAGAAAACTCTTTTGCTGCTGTGCAGAAGGAATAAGTCCTAAGGCTTGTTTTGCTGACTGTCACGTTAATAAAGTCAGAGCAGCAGAGAAGAGGTGAAGGGAAGAGGGCAGCAGCTCCCTGATTCTTCCCGAAAGCTTCTGCAACCTGAGGAGCATCCTCAGCCTCTGCTTGGATCAGACCAATGCTATGGCCTGGATTAGAGTTCTGTTAAAAAACAAACAAATGGTCTGGCAGTTAAGCACGAAATAAAGCTGAAGATAACATCAAGCTTAGTGTTTTGCTCCATCAAAACATTTTCAAAACACTGAGATAAAACTGGGTTTTAATATAAAGTGTTACTTTGAAACTGGTCTTTTTAAAGCACATTGGGGTATTCTCGTTTTATGGTAAAATCAAAGGGCACCAGTAAATGAAAGGCAGTTGTACAGCAAAAGATCTTGCCGTGAACACCCACAGGGAAAGCTGGGTGCAAGGACTAACCAAAAGCAACTTGGCAGGAAAAGTTCAAGGGTCTCAGTGCTCGATGACAGATCGTGCTGACTGTTGTGAAACTTTTGCAAGCAAATAGCGTCTGTTATCCTGCATTAGCACTATGGTGGCATAAACATAACTTCAGCCCACTGCAACTCAAGAAAACGTTGCTCTAATGCCTCTTACTAGTGCCCCGAACCAAGATGTACAGGTGTGAACCATTGCAGCACAGGTCTGTACAACCCCCCGGCACTGCTTTCACTTCAGGACAAGGTTTATACTCAGCCATCTGTACTTCCCCATGGTGCTGTGAGATTCAGCCTTAGGGAGGGATGGCCTTGTCACACCACCTAGGGTGTCCAGTTGTAGCCCAGCCCTGCTGCAACCTGCTCTGGCCGAGGTTTTCCAGTTTTGGCTCCTGATGGCTCAGATCTGGACACTGCTAGGCATGCTCCAAAAATGCCACTTGCCCGTTGGCCTGCAGCCAACTTTGTCTCAGCTTTCTAGCTGTAAAATAAGAAGGTTTCTCTCCTGGTGTTTTAATTCCCCTTTGGAGTAGAGATCCGTTAGCACATTCAGCAGGATGCAAAGTAACCCATCTCTTCTCCCTCTCTCTTTGTCCCACAGTGAAGAAACAAGATTTTGCCAGCACCGTGGGAAACCACCTGCCAATCCTGCAGTGGGAAGACAAGCGAGGCTTGGCCTTTACCAAGAACAACCTGAGCTATTTCAGCAACTCACTGGTGATACCTGTGTCTGGGGACTACTATGTCTATGCTCAGGTCACTTTCCGAGGGCACGTTGAAAGTTCAGGGAAAGCAAATTCTGTCACGGCCATCATCACCAAAGTCACTGACAGCTACCCCGAGCCCACCCAGCTGCTGACCAGCACCAAGACCCTCCGTGAAGAAGGGAACAGCTGGTTCCAGCCCATTTATCTGGGAGCTGTGGTCTCCTTAGAAGTAGGAGACAAGCTGATGGTCAACGTTAGCGACATTAAGCTGGTGGATTACACTAAGGAGCACAAAACCTTCTTCGGTGCCTTTTTACTGTAGGTCTCTGGCAGCAGCTGGTGGGGGTTGACATGGCCCTGCAGGACTCTGGTTTGGTGAGGGCACGTCGGGGTGCTGGTCTCTGTGCTGTTCTCCTTTTGTACTGTCACTCACCTGCAGCACTCTCTGCAGCCTTAAATTATGGGGTAGGGAAAGCTGAAGCCACAGGCTGAATTGAAACAAAGCAAAAAACTCCAGAAAAAATGCAAGTCAGGCTAGAGGAAAATAGAAGGTTTTGAAAGCAAAAGCTAAGAGCTCTTCAAAACTTTGATTGCTTGGGAGGGACCTGTTATATGTGTGGGACAGGCCTATTTATCCTGAATACTACAGCTAGGCTGCATCACTAACTCCTCTTCTAATATATAATTTCCTCATCTCAAAAAAAAAAAAAAAAAAGCACTTTAAACTTTCCCGGGCACTTCCAGTATAGTTTTCCATTACCTCACTTTAGACTCTCAGCTCTAAAAGGTAATTATTTTTTATCATTTCCTTACAAATAGATTTGATCAGTACTTTGCACTAATATAAAACCCACAGTAATCATTAACTGCTTAATTAATCCCTTCCAACTTCCCTGTAAAGTAGATTAAAATTATATCGCGTTTTGCAGAAGCTACCTGATTATTTTTTTTTCCAGTAAATTGTTTACAGTTATGTAAGTCAATATGTAGGTTTAGGCCTTTATGTAAAACTTCTAGGGAAAACGCAGAAATGCTTTCTGTTTCAGCATGACAGTGGAATCCCCCTGTCAGATCCTAACATTAGGAAAACAGAAAAAAAAAAAAAACAAAGCAGAGGCACGCAACAAAATTTTCTGCACTATTGAAAATCAACCACTGAAATTTCAAGAGAAACATTCTGCAATAGCTGGTTTTCCTATCCGTTTAATTGAAAGCAAGTGCAACTAAAAAAAAAAATCACTGCTTTGGTGCTCTCCCCCTTGCAACCACTGCTACAGCAGTCTGCAAAACTCAAAGGACTCCCCAGCCTTTGCCTGGGCGAGGGCTGCCAACCAGCTGCCCATACAAAAGGTTCTCGGATCTAAAGACAAGGTCATGGTGTGCCACAGCCAGGTGCAGAGCTCAGGAGCACTCACTTCCCATCTCACACTTACTGTTTTTCATGGGCCTTGCTGTCTCTCAGGGAAATTCCGCAGCTTTCCTTCTCCTCCCACAATAAATACATCACTGACAATGACTCAGGTCATATTCCAGTAGATGCAGGCTTCACACTCTTACCTGCCCGGAGGTCTCACACCTAAGCACCTACCATGCAGCTGTTCTGCAGGGGCTGGCCAGTGGCCAGGCTTTGCTCACTGCAGCTCTATTTTTTTTTATTTTTTTTTTTTCTCCTTACCTCATCAGGCTCCCTCTGTTTTCTACTTCTTGGGCGGAAGTGAGAGCAAGGCGTGATTCCCTAGCTATTGTTTCCACCCAAAGCCATGGCGGGGCCCAAAAGCACGCTGTTAGTGCCACACAGGCACCAAGGCCAGGGGACCCACAGGACGTGGGACAGGGGCTTGCAGCTGAACAGCTTGAGTGGGCAGAGGAGCTCTCTGGCAGAGACTGCCCAGCTACAAAAGACCACGTGTGACATTGCAGCCTGACCAGCCGTGGGCTGCTTTGGCCACAGCAAGCCTCTTCCAAGCAGAGACGATTTATTGCTATATAAAGATCTGTTTGAGATGAGAAGGCAAAACACAACTGAAGCACAGAGAAGGGCCAAGCAGATTAGGGTACAAAGGGAAGAGAGAGGCAGCGAGGTGAGAAATCCAACCAATACCTGGGTCTCTACCTCTTCATGGCCTGGGTATAAGCACTTCTGGGCTAACAACACGACTATGCTTCTTAATCCTGGCAGATCTTTTATCTAGTTAAATTATCTCAGAAAAGCAAGCTTTTTGACCATCCTTCCCTATTCTGCAGTGCCTTGGTCCCATAGTAGGTTCTCAGTCACCCTTCACTGTTTTATCTACACTGAGGCAGTATTAAGCACAGTACTGAAATACACAGTATTAAAAGCTAGGATGTTGGCATCTTGCCTTGCTCTTCTTTCCTCAGCAGATGTCTTTCTTGCTTCCTGCTCCTCAAGCCTAGGCATCAGATGTTGGTCCACTCTGCAGTATAGCCCACCTAGGACACCTTGACATTGCTGCTGCATCAAAACTTCCTTAGAGTTCAGCTTCTCATCCTTTCTTTGACTTGTCAAAGTCTTCACTTTCCCCACACCCACATCCCAGCTGTCCTCTTGATCCGTGTCTCCCTCAGGCACCTTCCTTCTTTCTTGGCCCTCTCCATTAAGTATAAATACACCCCTTTGCCCAAATCTAAATTTCTACACGCTTCTCTCTTATAATCATGTCAGAAAACTGCTATTTGAAAATAGATCAAGACATCAGAAAGTGAAGGTGGTGTACCTGCTAGTAGCTGCAAATGCTCTTGGCCAAAATATCCTGTAATTCTTTTATTAGCTAGATTCACTTCCATTTTTAAACCCTTATTGCTATGTTTCCTTCATCTGTTCAGTTTCTTATGCTAAAACTACCTCTTGGAGACAAGAGGAGTTACTCCATATGTATCTACTCAGCACCTAGCATGCAACCTAGTTGTTATTTCTCAGAAAGGGCAACTCATCATTCACCACCTTGGCAGGGCTGTTCCTACTGCTCAGAAATCCCATTTTTTCCCTTCGTACCATCAAAAAATGTGGTGAGATCACAAGTTCAGGAAAAGGATGTTCTTAGGGAAACCCTAAGACTTGCCATTTCTTAGATTTTCTCAAACATTCTCTCAGTACCCCACACCAAGTCCTTCTGAGCTGCTGATCCCTTCGTTGTGTGCCCAAAATATGATCCAAATTCATGAAAACATGATATTTGCAGGTCTTGCAGACCACCATATGGAGGCACTTAATGTGACTAGCATAGCAAAGAACATGGCATATGTCATAAAGAGGAGACTTAAGCAACCTCTCCAGGACAGGTGATTCTCAGCAACTACGTGGGAAAGCTTTTATGAAGTTATAGAGGATGAATTTGATGTATCCTTGGAGAAAATTGGAATGCAAATTCTAGCTGTACTAAGTTACAGAAATTCAGAAAGCTCTTTACTTCTACAAGTGAGATAACGTAGCATTCTTCTGAGGCCATAGGGCAATCCTGATAGGTTTGTAGAGCAGATTTCCATAAAAACTGAATCTGAAGTCATCATCACTTAATGACTGTTGCACTGAATATGATAAATATGAGTTCCAGAGGACAGGATTGTGCATGCAGTATTTAATATATAACAAAAGAAACTTCTAGGGAATACATACAGATATAGCCATGCTTGTGTGTTAATGCATATTCCGTACAAGTTTTAGGAAGTGCTTTGGCAATAACGAGCCCTTTCTCTAACAAAGTACATCATTTTTGTCCACTGTACACTGATGATAATTTTCTCAAGCAAAAACTTACCTGCTGTTCTAACAATGCAGATATGACTCTTGTTCCATTAGCCATACCACAAAAATATTTATTTTAGTCCATAGCAAGCTCTCCTACCCCATTATTTACACCAGCTTCTAGCACGTTTAGCACAGTAGCACACTTTGTATATATCATAAAGTAATTTATCTGGCATTACTTGTTTTAAAGTGGTGCAGGCATATTAACATGCACACATCTACCCCAGTGGAAATTCCCCCTTTCTCCCCTTCACTTCTCTTCCCTCACATACAGTGCTAATGCTTCTGTAACAGTGACTAGCAAGTATAATAGCAAGTACACGGGCTGCTTCTGACCCAGGGATTCCGATTCCACAGAAACCAGTGGCACAACCTCAGGGTAAAGCTGCTTAAGACAATTCAGGCTCCAAGAGAAGTATCATAAGTAGACTGAATCCAAGTTGCAAGTGATCTGATTTTCCCAGAGCTAAATAAGGATAGAAGTGTTCTCAGAAAATCACATTTATTGAATTAGAACATTTCTTTAATGTTAATCATTTCTGGAGATGTGAAAATGCATATACATCAGCATTTTCACTTGAATGAGAAGATGATGAAATCAGGCCTTGTGAACAAGTGACCTTTCAGTTTGTGGTCAGACTGAAAATGTTTTGTTTTGGGTGGATGTGAAACTAGAAGTTATAAGAAAAACTCCAAGCTGGAGGAATAGGGTTTAAGTAGGCAGCTCGTGCTACGTGAACTAAAACAATTACGTGATTTCGGATTTTGACCCTTCCATTTTCCAGTAAAAGAGATATTTAAGCACTATACAGAAAAAAAATCATTTTTCTTCCAATGTTTATTTTATTTTTTAGTATGAAGCATGGTCAAAATATTTTTGTTCTTTGGATTTTTGTTCTTCCCCAATCTCTTTGATCTCCAAAAAGCTAACACTAAATATAACCGAAATCCATATAATGGTTCACTTACTTACTGCTTCCTTTCGCCTTAAAAACTAATAAGCATTAACTCTCTCTATATAGATATCCAAGTAAATTTAAATCAAGCTACAGAGGATTACAGCTCCAATGTTACCAACATACGCTTTACTTAGTCTTAAGCATGTGCTTAAGATGAGTGACATTGTAAAAGTGAGCTCAGTTTTCCTATCTGGTGTATGGGAGGAGTAAAATCAAATTAAAAGTGATGTAAATGTTTTAACTGTGTTTACCGTGAACTACACTATTATAGGAGTAACCCCCTAAACATAGGAGCACTCACAGACCATCGTCAGCACATGTATGTTGGCAGGATTAGGGTCTAGAGGTGGAAAGTTAAAAGTCATGTTCCTTAGTAAAACATGACCCAAATAACAAACAGTAGGCTGCCGAGATGATTTTGGACATCGCAGTTTAGCAGATGTCAGCTTGAGTAGACCCCCAGAAGGAAGGGATGCAACCAGTCTGTATCAAAGTGCAGCACAGACCAAGTGGGATGGATTAAGGTGTTACTTGTGATTTTCAATACAGATAAACCATATTTTGAAAGATTGTCTTTTTGAACTCTGTATAACTGACCACACTGTGCTCTGAGTTTATTAATCTCCTGGGTGGCCCATCATTTCAGATGAGAAATGAGGAAAAAAATTCGTTCTTTAGAAGAATCAGACAGCGTCAAGAATTTTTGCCCAAATCTGGGTATTAAGCACCAGTATAGCATTTTGCTATTGTAATGTATTTTCATTAAGTGATTGCATATTGTCTTATGCTTCAGTACTGATGTTCACTTTTACCAGTAGAACAGACTTAGTTTCTTGTTTCTAAGTTTTATGATAATAAAAATGCAAGTTAACTAATGTGAGAGCTTCTGATCCTGGTCCCCTTCCAAAGACACTAACCCAACTGCACACATAAGGGTGATCAGCTAATACAGCCAAACACCCATGCTGCTGTGTGTTAGTCATTGTTATTGCAGTCAGCAATCCTGCACCCACGTTGAGTAAACTCAAACTCTTTTCTTTGCCCCAGGAGGTAATAGGGCTTCCCTTTCGAAAGGCAAAACAAAAGCTGACCAGATTTTCTTTTTCATTCATTTTTCCCCTTTGCAGTGTGGGAAACAGCTGGTTCCTTTTTTTTTTTTTCCTTGCCATTTCTTAGTATATTTTGAAGAAAGCCCTGTGGAAAAACAATGCTCATCAGAAACTGCATCACAGTCATACTGTCAATCCTGAGTCAGGGCCCAAAGCTGAGCACACAAGGGAGATGGGAACCACATTATTCCAGCCAGCTTTTTAAATCGTCACCCGAACAAAAAAAAAAAAGTTTGCCCTGACTAGAGCTATACATGAGAGCACCTTAGCAGCTTAGAAACTCAGCATTTCCAATTTCTCTGCTATTGACTGTCAGAGGTAACACAGCTGGGAAGCATTGGACAAGTGAGGGTTCAAGTCTTGAGTGAAGGCAACAGAGCTCTGGGCACCCTTGGTCCTGTTCTGCACTGAGCTTTGCTGTCCTTACACTCTCAGTGTAGTAGCAGTACCCATTGGATATCTACTTCTCATCCCAGATGGTTTTATCTTCAATCCTCTGCTGCCAAGAGCACAAACTCTTCCTTTTCCACTAGAAAAATTCAGAAACATTGTCCCAGTAGGCATATTTCTTATCTCCACAACTTGTCATTTTCCTGGCTTGAACACAAAGTAGCATTTCTAAGTTAATTCAGAAGTGATTTCTGATTAATGGCTACGTGCTCTGACTCAAGTAAGGTTTTCACTTGGAAACTCTGATGGAGGAAGCATGTTTACCTTGGCTTTCATCCACTCACATACCTGAGATATTTTGTTAGGCAGGTGGCAGCCAGGAGTTAATTAGTAGGAAACAGGCTTTCCCCCATAAGAATTCCACAACAAAACGGTGCATTTCTTTTGAATTCAATAGCTACCTCAGATTTGAAGACTATAAAAAGTGTTTTTTTCCTTTTTTAAGAAAAACTTCCCGCTTTAGCATGAGCTAAGCAGAATTCCCTCCGTTTATTGTACTTACTCTGTTTAGAGTGAAATGGCAGTAGCATAGCAGTAATAGCTTGAGTTACTATCTTTGTGGTCTAAATACACTGGCATGTACCTTCTCTCCACATGAAGATTTTACTTCATTTTCCCTACCTTTCTCATCCAAAAGTTGGATATTCTTAATGAATTTTTATGTTCTCTTTCTAGCAAGGGTAGAGATTTCTAAAAGGCTACATCCCCTGGAATGGGTGGAGATGAGACCTTCTTCTCTCCCAAAGCTGCAACAGAATGTATGAAAAGAAATTTTTACTAGCTAAATGCAAGTGAGATTACAATAGCAGCACTCAGCAAGGGACAGCTATCCCCAGCCCCCACACAACACTGCACTCCCTTCCCAAGAAGGCTGGATAAAGCTGCCCAGACAGTTACTGCCCGAGCAGAATCTTCACAGGGTTTGGTGTTAACAACTACATCCATGGACATGGGTATTGAAGGGAGAATCTTTCATGTGATGCATTTGTTATTCCATTAAATTTACCCTGGACAGTAGGGAAGTTTAGCTTCTTGAGGTGCCCAACCACAGCTAGATCTGCTCACACCAGCTTTGTTCTTGCATGAAGACCCCTTTTCCAGGCTGGGAAAAAGTTCAAAAGTCACTTATAATACACCCAGCTTTTGGGAGAGGCTTTGAGTTCACTCTGGCAGGGCTAGAAGACTGTCTCAGTTGGTGCTCCATCCTGCAAGATGCTTAGGAGACAAAGCGGGTGAATGGAAGGAACACTCATAGGAAGAGACTTTATTTCAAGAGTCCCTGCTCATCGACAGGCAGCTGAATAAGGGCCCATTTTCTCCAACACACTCAGCAGCTGTCAGACATGTTCTCAAAGCTAAGAATCCATTGATTCAGGTTTTTTGACACCTGGTGCCAAAGCTAGACAGGAATCTCTTCAAAAGTGAAGCAACAAGCCAAGTTTATCAATAGCAGCAGTTCCAAATTCATTTTGCCTTAGAAGTATTACTGCAAGTCCTTTGGAATAGCATGCAAGAGAGCGCCTCACAAGTTAGAGCCTAGTACCCATAAACACCAGGTTACTGTAAATAGTACGTCATTAAGTTATTTAATATTACATTGTCTTAAATTATTAAATACTATATTATTAAGTGCCGTAAATAGGAAGGTTTGGGTGGTTTTGCTGAATTATGAACTAAACTAGCTTCCAGATGCTCTCATTCTTGTAAAAATCAAGCTATGTTTTCATTGATTGTAGAGTTTTATCAGAATGCCAAAAAGGCACTGAAAATGTTTACTGCATATTTATTGGTACTGTATATATAGATGTCAGTTATATGTAAGAAATTGTAAAAGACAAGGTATAAAGTTGAGATCTATTAAACTTAACTATTTACTTTAGCAGATGGCTTTGATGTCTTTTGACAAGCAAGTTTATAAATTTTTTTTTTAAATACATGCCTTAAAATAAAAAATAAAAGCACTTCTACTCACCTTGATTCCTGAGTCTGTCTGTATTCTAATATCTACCAAGTGCTCATATTTACAGCTGGGAAAGGCAGACATTTGTTTACCCATAACAACATGGTTAAGTGTGCTATATTTTTCACATAATACATGACTTCACAGATGTGTAGATTTTTTTGTATGCAAGCTATTAATACATTTGCATACAGAATATACACTCAGCAAGTTATAAATCCTAGTATTTCAGGAGCATGGAACTGGTCTTCATCTGAGGACCAGTTTCAGACATTTTCTTCAGCCTTTGTTTTAACGCCTGCAATTAGAATATTTTGGTCCAGTAGTGTACAATCATATCAGGGAACTGAAAGTTATAGTCTTGTTACTCTTCCCCCTTCCCTTCCCCCAGACAAAGCTAGCTGAATCTCACCATCATTTAAGGTGCTTAACTCTGTGGCAACAAAAAAGAAAAAAAAACACCAACCGAAGAGTCAGTACATCCAGAAAACCACCTACCATGCTTCGGTATGAAAAAAAATCCCTATTTAACTGCTTTCTGTTCAATACCAGTAATATTTAGTAAAAACTCATTATGTTCTAAGATTCATATAGAATTTCATAACATTTGAGCAGGACTACATCTGCAGTCCAGAAAAGAACTTTATGTGGGCGAACTGAATTCTGAAGTCTCACAACACGATCCATTTGACCAACCCTATAAACTAATATTTCTTCCAGAATGGCAATGAAAAAAATATTTAAAAAAGCATTAATACATTTTATTCATGGCTGTAAAATAAAATTAGTGGTGATTCCTACCTGCAGTCCAGAAGCCTGTCATTAGTCTGACTTCCTCAGCAGCCAGAGGGAGATGGGGTAACTTGCACTCTGGTACATGTCCCTTTCTCTATTAACTGCATACAGCTAGAAATTCCAGCACAGCTGAGGTTAAGCAGTAGGAATCACACACTGAGCTTCATTTCTGGGTTGAGAAAACGACCATTTGGTCTGCGGCCTCTCAGCAGCTGCCAGAACTGGGACCTGAAGCTGGCTACTGCACCAGCCCCTGTGGCTGTTTCCCTCCAACAACCAGCACTACAGCAAGGCATCTGGCTTTTCCCTTGTATTCCACCCCTTTATCTGATATAAATTCATTAAAGTAGGAGAGCCCTACACTGTACCACAGGAGGGGAAGAGGTCCATTGCTCCCTGCTGATGGTCCAGCCAGGGGATTACCACAGAGGCACGCAGCCATCTCCCCTCTGCAGGCAGGATACAGAGGCAGTTGTGCATGCAAAGGTGAAAGTGGAAGAGAACTTAATCAAGCAAACAGCTGCCAGAGCAGGATTATCTGTCAAATCATGCAAAATAGTTTTGTTCACTACACTTCCCCTCTCTCATAAGTTCCTAAAAGCATAGGTGGGAAAACGGCATCCTCTCAAAGAGACGGCTAGCAGAAAGTGCTGCTCATGTCCCAGCCCTTCAGCTGGATGACTTCACTCTTTGCAGATGTCCCACTTCCTTTTCTGCATGTAAATCAGGGGAATCTCTAGAACAAAAACAAGGAGATATGAAACAACTTTTTTCCTATAGCAGTGGGACTGTTCCTCTTCACTACTGAATTATCTGGCAAGTAGGTATTAATGCGTGGAGAACTGCTGTCTGTACAAATATCTAGGTCCTCTGAAACTAGACAGTTCCTTGGGCTGTTACCACCACCTTAATCATGGTGACATCTCATTAGTTTTCCTTCAGAGGTCATCCCTTCGTACTTTAAAGGAGGAGGTTAAAAGAAGAGGTGAGACAAAGAGGACTGAAGAAGGCTTTTTCTTTACCCATTGTCTGCATCTAGTTGTCATTTCTGGCTAGAAGCATGGGACTGATCTCCTGTGTATCCCATTACTGCTGCCCCTCTACAGTCGTAAACCAGACTTGGATGCTGATTCATTTGGCACGTCCTGTTGAATACATTTGCTATTCCTTACCCCAGCTCCTCAATTACAGTCCAAGTTTCAGGAAAGTGCTTATGCAACAAATCAAAGCAAAGCACATAACCACAAACCATTTTTTTGGCAAGCATAGTTTTCTGTGGGAGTCCTTTCTTGCTTCAGGGGGGCACCGTAGGGATTGTGCTTTAAGGTTGTAAGTGCAACAAGGACGCCATAGTTCTTTAAGGAGGTTTTAGTTTGTTTATTCTCATAGACAGCTCCCAAGAGGTAGCTGAGGAAAGCCCACTATTTTTACTGCAGTGATCCTGGGCAAAGCAGCACACTGGCACAGTTGCCACAAGAAATTTTCACGAAATTTCTTCCCAGAAATGCCCCACTGTGTCACAGGGTGGATCTCCTAAGTGATAAAGCTGACTATCATGCTACACCAGCACCTGATCTCTACTTTGTGGAAAATCCCAGAGGAAGGCACACATGCTATGAGCATGGCTGCAGTGAGTCAGCTGTGACCTCAGGGCTGACCTCCTGCAGGCAGAGAGAAGGTCAAAGCAGTGCCTGTGGTCTACCTGCCTGCATCTTCTGTGACCCAAGCCAGGCCCAGGCCAGAAGAAAAGGGACACCAAGGGACACCAGGCAGGTTTCTGGGACACTCCCAAGCCCAGCGGTTCTGAGCTGTGTCACCCACCCTTTAGTATATACATTGCCAGGATAAAAACTCCATGTGCTAAAGCCAGCTATCCTTATTTCCTAAGTTATGGGTTTATACCCACCTTCTGGTAGCCTAAGAAGGTAACTGATAGCTTCCTTAATGTGCACAGCCCCAACATAGCTTGTCTCTACCCACCCCTGCCACCCCTTTAGAAGGAAACTCATCCCCCAACCCTAAAAGCTCCCAGGTCCCTCTGCTCCCACAGTAGACAATACAGCTTAGACTATTTTACATTAAGACTTCTCTAGTGCCAGTTCAGTACACATCCTGGTTACACATTTAGTTTTATATTTTTACAGCTTAGAAGTCAAACAAACAGCAACTTCATCTCGTGCTTCACAAAACACACTCCTGGTCCTCACTGAAGGGCTCCAGCATCGTTTATTGACCTCAGGAATCACTACCCCCAGCTTCTGAGAACACTCTGCCTTCAGTGGCTTTCCTCCAAGCCTTGGATAAGCAACCTACCAGCACTCAGAGGAAGGAAACCAGACTTTTACCCCATTACACATACAGTACCAGCTGCATGCAGCACACTTCAGTCAGTTCATTGCTTCTCTTACACTACTTCAGAGTAGTCCCATACTGCAGCTGCAGGAGGAGGGGAAGAAATCCAAGTGGCATCTTTGACCTCTCTTACACTTGTTATCAATCCAGCAGTCAGGCTAACATCACACTCACACTGCCACTCCCTTCTTCTCGGAAGTCACGGGAGCAAACAGCTCTGCCTCAGGACAAGCTGTTGGTATGAGTCTGAAGGTCATCCCCTTCACCTCCCAGAACACCACTTGGTAACACAACAGGTTTTTGTGAGGAGACAACAGCTTTAACAGAAGTTCTTGAAAAAAAAACGTCAGAAATGAGATTTCTAACAACCTTGGAGACCTTGAGGGTCCTCACAGTGCAGGTCCTCCAGTGGTCCCCTGCTGCAAGGCCCTGCCGTGCTCCACAAAGGCTCTCAGAGCCCTTGACCCATCTTCCAAGGATTGTGCCACTAAAAAGTGATTCTTCTCAGCTGGAGCATTTCACATGACAGAAGCTACAATACCCAAGAGTATTGCCAAGTCTAAAGAGACCTGGCAAGAACCAGAAACCACACAGACCCAGGAAAAGGCCATCTCACCCCTTCCCCTGCTTTCCATGGAAGGAATTACACACACCAGGAGAAGATAGAAGCCGCAGGTTCCTCTTGTCCAGGCTCTCATACAGTGCCCTGAATGTACCTTTACTCCCCTCGCCAAGTGCTCTACACACAGCCCATACCTCCCAGGAGGCCTCTTGGGGTGTACGAGACACACTGCCAGTCAATAACCCAGCAGCAAGAGCATTCTCCCACTAAAGCAAAGACTGAAGACCATAGAAGCACAAGAAACATCGCAAGATATCAGGCTAGACCTTTAACAACAGTGGTAGAAGATGCTTTTTAGAGAAAACACATGGGTCTGATCACTGGCTTTGTTGCATTTCCCTCCTGTACTATTGCATCACCATTCATTGTAACAATAATTTCAGAAAGTACATTCATGCCTATTCCTTTTAATATTGAACTCATGACTAAAAGAAAGACTCGTGAACAGATTAGTCATTCCGTAAACAAGTTGGTAATAATTATTTGTGCCTTAGTTTCCTCTGAGGGATTCCTTAAATTCCATGTCTGCTGTGCCAGAACACTCCTATCAGTTTCAGCCTGAAGATTAGAAAAGCCCTTGAGCCAGGGCAGCACCTCTCACCTGGAGCACAGGAGCTATGAGATTAGTCTCATCCGGGACACTCTCCTTCTTGGCTGAGGCTTTGGAACACGACAGTTGTGTCAACATCCACATTTCCTGTTGATTGTCATCCAGGAACCTGTAGCACATTAGAGGAACCTCATCAGAAGCCACAACCACATAGTCTTTCCCTCCCATAGGGATACAGCATCTGAGCTGTAGGCATTCCTCTCTACCAAGTCTGATGTGAAGCCACAGGAATCAGCACAGATGCTAATAACCCAGAGGGCAGTCAGCTTACAGCAACATTAGAGAGCATTCTCCATTGAGCAGAGAGATCCTTACTAGGGCCCTGTGTCAAAGGGAGCTGTAAGGACCAACTTAGTCAAAGAGGCCAGGACTAGGTGATAGGCCCAGCTAGCTTCCCATCTCTGATAAGAAACACCACTGAGAAGATAAACCTTTTTGTCCTGCCTTCCTTCCCTCATCTTTACATGCCCTTAGTCTTTGATGTGGGAGACAGAAAGAAAACAGATCAGCTGGCTTGTTAGGCTTTCCCATATGGCTCCTCAACAAACCCCAAGTACTTCTCCTCTTCTTTCCCAATTGATTCCAGAGCACATGGTCACAGAGCCAGGAGCCCACCCCACGCTTCTTGGGAGCCATGCTCCAGGGATTAAGGAGGAGCATAAGGTTGCTATCTGCCACAACACTGCCTTCTCACACAGCAGGGATTTACAAGGAATTTCAAAAGTCAAGCCAACAGTCTCAGACAGCAGGATAACATCTCCTCACTCACCCAGTAGTCATCCCTATCAACTGCTTCTGTGGATAGGGAGCAGAGAAAGCCTTCGGCTGAAGAAGCTGAGCACTAACTCAGAGTCACATGGAACAGGAAACATAACATAAGCATTAGCCTAAACTATTGCATTATTTGAGCAGTTTCCACTCATGTTCTTAAAGAGACTATTTTTCAGAGTTGACTAAATAGCTAAATAAACAACGTAAGAAGCCAGCCTCCCCAGACAAGACATAAACGCCTCACTTTCCCCCATACCTTCAGGGATGAGGGCATACAGACACCTGGGCCCTGGCACACACTGCAGACCTCCCCCTGCATAAGGAACCCCAGCACAACACAACCACCTGCTTCTCACACTCACCCATTTATCATCTTCCCCAAGCACACAGCTGCAGGAACAAAGCAAGTTGGGGCTAATGGAGCCAATTAGCCATCATTAACACCTTCTTGACCCAAGCCAGTGCCACCCCATCAGTCCACCTGCCCTGGGAGGACTTCTCCAACCCAGTGCAAGCTCTGTGTGAGTCCCTCTGTGCTGCACCTCCCTCTTCAGGAAAATACAGCAACCGACAAAACCAGATCAAAACCCTCTAGCACTGCCTTGGTGCTTTCCAGCCCTCTGAGATCTCTAGGATCCTTCTCCCCTGCTGCATGGGTCTGGCCTCCAAGCCAAGGTTCCCATCACCACTCTTCTGACTTGTGCACCCCACTTGCAAGTGATGCCCTGATCCCCATCCACAGATGGCTCCCTTCACTAGTAAGCTCCTTGTTGATGTTCTCAACAAGAATATTTACTGTCTACATTGGAGAACACGTTATGTTCTCCATACTCTCTGTTTCCTCTGTCTTTACAGCCTTTCCTTCTTGTATTCAACAACCGAAAGCAGCATCCTGTAATGAAACTGAACTACAGTATTCAATAAATACCAAATGAAATTAGTTATCAAGAATGTCTCCCAAAGACCACCGTGTGCTCTGATGCCGTCATAAAATATATTGCTTGTTTTCTTAGGAATAACTAATGCATTCTCAGAAAATCAGGATGTTTTGTGGTTTTTTACTCAGCGGAGGTATTCACTTAGCAGGATTCGGTTGGCCTACATTGGGACGGTATCTGAGGCTCATTAGCGTATTTATCCATATATCATTCCTGTGAGATAGGGAAAGTCCGTTTTTGCAAATGGGGAACTGCGGAGACACTAAATGACTCGTCCACAGTCACACAGGAAATCTGCAGTGGGAGGAAGAAAAGGGAATCAGACAGGTCCCCCAAGGTCGCCGCTTGTCCTCTCACCTCTTTGCCATTCCCCAGCTCCTGGATGTGGGAGCTGCTGGTCAGGAGACAGCGAGAGCCCCCATGTGTGGAGCCGGGCAGGCAGGGATGGTGCAGACCTCCCCCTCCTGCACAGGCTGAGCCAGCGGTGGCCACTGCTGTCCCCTGAGCTGTGACATGGGCTGTGCCTGCCCGCCACTGCCTGCAGCCACCGAGGAGATGGCTTGGATGAGTGCAGGAGCAGGTGGGTGATGGATCCCAGGAACACCACGCTCAGACTCCCCATGGGGCAGTGCAGAGCCCCCGATGGTCAGTCGTCAGGGGTGGAAATATATTTGGAGATACAGAGTGGAAATACAGTGGAAATGCAACCCTCTTTGGGTAAAAAAAGGGGTTGTTCCTGTGTTCCCCGTGACATTTTTATGGGATGTGTCCTGTCTGAGGAGCTTGGGCTACAAAGAGGATGACCCCCATTGTGGTGACCCACTGGGAAAGGGGAGGGAAGTCAGGATTTAGTGAGCAGAGCTCAAATCACAGTGGGGCCAGAGAAGAAAATCTCCAGGATGGCCCCAGGGCAGGCTGGCTCTGCAGCGTACATGTGCCTTGGACTGGATACCCTTGGGAAAACCCTCACAGCCAAGGGGAATACCCTGCACTCAGGAAACTGCTGAAGGTCCACAGCCACGCAGCTGCCAACAGTTATTACGGGCTAGCAGAGCACACACTGGATGTGTCCATCAGGCTCCTTAGCAAGCAGCAGAGCAGAGGTTTCTGACCTCTGCTGCAACAGATGCAAACACCCACAGCCAGGTTCAGCAGCTATGGGGCTGGCAAAGGGCTCACCTCTGTGTCCTCATCCATCCCTGCCTGCTGGCTTCTCTCCTCTTGCCCCGCAATGTGTCTCCCCACACTCATGTCCAGTCTGTTGCTGTCTTAACGGGAAACCACAGCCAATGTCGACGCAACATTCCTGTCCTCATCCACCTCTGCTGGAGACACCAAAAAAAAAAAAAAAAAAAAAAAAAAAAAGGAAGACAGATTAATCCCAGCCTGGAGGGTTTTACTTTGAATTAATAAGGGCTGTCTCTGCTCCTGAACTAAAGCTATTGATCCAGTCCTTGATTATGGTCATCCACTTTCATTCCCAGACTTATTATCACCTTTGCAAGATGAGAGCCTCTAATTAGCAACTGCAGTTCCTGGTCTCACTCCAGAGAGTCACCAGCCAGGAAGCCAGCAGCCTGCCAAGCCCTGGGGACAGCTGGGGACAACAGGGACAAGTGCTGCTCAGGAGCTGCAGGCAGGCACACCTGCAGCCCGGCAGCTGCCCAAAGCCTGTGTGGAGCTTTCAGAGCTCAGCAGTTCCCTGATGTTTCCCTGGCCTCCCACAAAACTGCTGAAGTCACAGGGGCAGCGAGAGGTCCAACACACAGCTCCTTTGGGTAACAAACATCTGTCCCATCTTCCAGATTTGTGGTGAAGTAATAAACTTTTGTGAAGCATTTACTATCCAGCCAAGTGGCTTGCTTTGCTGTTAGCACCCCATGTTTCCTCCTGGCCACCCCTCACCAGTTTCCAGGGGTAATGCAGAGCCAAGGAGATCCCCGTGGCAGGGCCTCCAAGGGGAAATCTGCTGGCATGAAACACCTTCACCAACCGCTGCAACAAGCAGGAGAAGGAGGTGCCAGAGAATAATTACCAGGGGCTGTTCACCAAATGTTGTGAAGTCCCCTAAATAACATTCCCGTGAGCAGCATCAGCGGCTGCATGTCAGCCATCCTCACCTCGATAGGACAGGCTGATGCCCAGCAGAGGAGCCCCTGTCCTCTCCCAGAGCCTGTCCAATCCCCACCAGCATCAGAGGAAGTTTTTTCCACACTGAATGCAAACAATTTCACATGAGGCCAGAGCCCCCCTCACCCAGCTCAGTGGGAAATGCAAGCTCCAGCTGCTGCTGCCTGTCCTGAGCATCCAGCTCTCCCCCCCCATGGAAATTGCTGTGGTTTGGGGGCAGTGGTTGCTGATACACACCTGGGTGTGATCTCAAGTCACGGCTGAGATGCACCCTTGGACCTGTTAAATAGACACAGCTCATGAGAAAACATGCTGTCATAAAGCAAGACATCACCTCCCACAGATGTTTCCAGCTGAGTAAAGTCACACTCTGCACTCCAGAGATCCCAGAGGACAACTGAGTTAGCACCCCAACTTCTGCAGTCTGCCAAAGAAAGCAGAAAAATACGAGTTTAATTGTGCTGGCTGACAAATACAGTGCTCCCGCAGAGACCCTGGAGCATCTCTGCTCCTCATACTCCACAGCCAGGGAAAGCATTGGCCTCCTTGGAGCAGCATCAGCAAGAGGAGGAGGTAAATCACCGCAGAGGAGGCTGACTGGCAGCAGGACACTCACCTCCTCTCCCCAGGGAGCTGTATACAAGCTTTTACGTAGACTTCTACGCAGACTCTGAATTTTCCAAGTACATTTTTCTATAGGAATCTTTGGGATTAGGTGTCCAAATATTTTTTTCCCTTGGAGATAACCTTTTATTTGACTAATCTCGTTTTCCCCTGGAGATAACCTTTTATTTGACTAATCTCTCTGAAATCAGAGACTTCCTGAACAACATTTAACAGAGCCATAAATCCTGCATGCTGTGCGTGATTTGTAGATCGCTGCACTTTCGAGAGTTTGGAGTGTCGGACTGAAGGTCTTTCTGGCAAGAGTTGCACCAGAGCAGACTGCCAGATGCTGTGAGTAAAGGCTGGATGAATGCAGGGGCCTGGCTGCACCGCAGCACAAATGTTGTTCTGCACCATGCCAAAAACCACATGCACAACATCTGCCTGCACAGCTGAGCTGCATCTGAGCTTTAACTTGAACTGAGCAAGTGTTCATGCACCAAGGTTCTTGGACAAGCCCTCTCCTTGAATGGCTAGTCACTATCAACTTTATCCTTCAAGTATTTTTTTAGAACGGATTCACTATTTCTAGGGATCCCTCCCTAGGGTGTTTCTTCCCTTACTCAACTAGACTCACTGAATAAACAAAGTATGCTGAGCAAACTCACAAAAAAAAAAAAAAATACTTTGGGACCTTGACTGTTTGTCTCCTGTGCACAGACAGACAGACAGCCTCCCTGCAGTTACCCCAGGGACTGAGCACTGTAGATGCCACCAGGGCTTCTCACCCAGGACCTCACCAAGTGCTCTCCCTTTCCCAAATTTACTTAAGCAAAATTAAGGACTTGTCTGTTAAAGCTGGAGCCAAGATAAACATGCAAAGGGATATGTTCCTACGAGGAGCGGCTGAGGGAGCTGGGCTTGTTCAGCCTGGAGAAGAGGAGGCTCAGGGGCGGCCTTATTGCGCTTTACAGATACCTTAAAGGAGGCTGTAGCGAGGTGGGGGTTGGCCTGTTCTCCCACGTGCCTGGTGACAGGACGAGGGGGAATGGGCTAAAGTTGCGCCAGGGGAGTTTTAGGTTAGATGTTAGGAAGAACTTCTTTACTGAAAGGGTTGTTAGGCACTGGAACAGGCTGCCCAGGGAGGTGGTGGAGTCACCATCCCTGGAAGTCTTCAAAAGACGTTTAGATGTAGAGCTTAGGGATATGGTTTAGTGGGGACTGTTAGCGTTAGGTCAGAGGTTGGATTCAATGATCTTGAGGTCTCTTCTAACCTAGAAATTCTGTGATTCTGTGATATGTTGACAATGGCAAAAGAGGAGATGTGGAAAGAGGAGCACAGCACAGAAATGCATGGAAATGTCCAGGAGCAAAGCAACAGAGCACCCAGAGGGCAGGAGACTAGCAAAACCTGAAGACCATAGCATGGGGAAATTAAACATAATTCCACTTTCCAAAATTCCACAGCACAGCCAGGAAGTGGATCTGAGCTCACACTTCTTCAACACCACTGAGCAAACTGGGATTTTCATTTTGGTATACTTGCTTTAGGGCATGTTGGTTTTGTTGGTTCTTTTCAGTGCCTTGAGACAGACAGCTTTGCTCTGCCAAGTGGGGGGCTGGTCGTGGCATTCAACCTCCAAAACGCAGCCCGATGTCTTCAACGCCTCTTTTCCTGTGACTG